ATTAAAACATTAAAATCATCATTTTTAAAAAACGTTAAATTTTTCATTAAAACGTTAAAATGTTTAATTGTTCATTTTTAAAACTGTTAAAAGGTTCATTAAAACGTTAAAATGTTCATTAAAACGTTAAAATGTTCATTAAAACATTAAAATGTTCATTAAAACATTAATATGTTCATTAAAACGTTTAAAGGTTCATTAAAACGTGCTTGTTTCTTTATGATGTCAGAAAGATACAGCTTGTTTCAAAAAATGAACATTTAAACGTTTTTATGAACCTTTAAACATTTTAATGAACATTTTAACGTTTTTAAAAATGAACATTTTAACGTTTTAATGAACATTTTAACGTTTTAATGAACATTTTAATGTTTTAATGAACATTTTAACGTTTAAAAAAATGTGCATTTAACCGTTTTAATGAAGAATTTAATGTTTTAAAGAACATTTAAACATTTTAATGATGATTTTAACGTTTTAATGAACATTTTAACGTTTTAATGAACATTTAAATGTTTTGATGAACAATTTAACATTTTAATGAACATTTTAACGTTTTAATGAAGAATTTAACGTTTTAATGAACATTTTAACGTTTTAATGACCCTTTAAATGTTTTTAAAAATGAACATTTAAACATTTTAATTAATATTTTAACGTTTTAATGAAGAATTATATTCAACAAGCATATATATATTCTGATATATATCAGACATATATATCTTGTTTCTACATGATATCAGAAGGAGACTGCTTGTTTCTACATGATATCAGAAGGAGAACTGCTTGTTTCTTTATGATGTCAGAAGGATACTGCTTGTTTCTACATGACATCAGAAGGAGACTGCTTGTTTCTTTATGCTGTCAGAAGGAGATTGCTTGTTTCTTTATGATGTCAGAAGGAGACTGCTTGTTTCTTTATGATGTCAGAAGGAGACTGCTTGTTTCTTTAGGATGTCAGAAAGATACTGCTTGTTTCTTTGTTATGTCAGAGGCAGTCTGCTTGTTTCTTTATGATGTCAGAAAGAGACTCCTTGTTTCTTTCTGATGTCAGCAGGAGACTGCTTGTTTCTTTATTATGTCAGAAAGTCTGCTTGTTTCTACATGATGTCAGAAAGAGTCTGCTTGTTTCTAGATGATGTCAGAGGCAGTCTGCTTGTTTCTAGATGATATCAGATATCATGAAGAAACAAGCTGTATCTTTCTGACATCAAGAAACAAGCACGTTTTAATGAAAATTTTAACGTTTTAATGAACCTTTAAACGTTTTTAAAAATGAACATTTAAATGTTTTAATGAACTCTTTCTGACATCATGTAGAAACAAGCAGTCTCATTCTGACATCATGTAAAAACAAGCAGACTCTTTATGACATCATAAAGAAACAAGCAGTCTGCCTCTGACATCATAAAGAAACAAGCAGTCTCCTTCTGACATCATGTAGAAACAAGCAGTTTCTGACATCATGTAGAAACAAGCAGACTGCCTCTGACATCATAAAGAAACAAGCAGTATCTTTCTGATATCATGAAGAAACAAGCAGTCTGCCTCTGACATCATAAAGAAACAAGCAGTCTGCCTATGATATCATAAAGAAACAAGCAGTCTCATTCTGACATCATGTAGAAACAAGCAGTCTGCCTCTGACATCATAAAGAAACATGCAGACTCCTGACATCGTAAAGAAACAAGCAGTCTCTTTCTGACATCATGTAGAAACAATTAGTCTCCTTCTGACATCATAAAGAATCATTTTAGCATTTTAATGAACATTTAAAGGTTTTAATTGTTGGTCTCTCTTCCGTTAGACCAAGCACGGGTACGGAGTAGATGGAGTTAAACACCTTTTAAGTTGACAGAACGAGGAGACAAATGATCAGAAGTCCATTCACTGTTTCACCGCTCATGAGGGGGAGAGTCTCTGCAGCAAGTCCCGCGACCTGCTCTTGCCAGATGCTTCGGACAGACTCTCGCCGTTCTGCTGAAAACGGCTGATTTTTATTGAAGATTACAGGAATGTTACATACGTAGTTTGCCATACACACACGTAATTCTGCCATCTGCACCTGCAGACGCACGTCAGCTAATAGCCTTGTTAATGAAAGACCAATTCATCCCAAGGACATGCAACCTTGAGATGATCAGGACACATCCTGCAACATCCTTTGCTAACAAAGACAGTTGTTCTTGTATTGAGGAACTGAAGGAAGGAACGCTTTCACTCCCTTATGCAGCTGTTCAGCTTGAGCAGAAAAGGCACAGAGAGGTTTTCGATATTATAACAAGATTCCATGAAAAGGCATATAATAATGTATTTATGATAATATATAAGGGGCAAAAGTGAGAGATACATATTTAATCATATAAAAGAGCTTATAATAATATATGAAAGAGCTTATATGAGAGATATATATTTTCAATCCCCCTTTTGAACTCTTTTAAGAGTTCAATAAAGATATAAGAAATCAAAACAATAACACCAAATTCCATCAAAAAGAATCCAATAAGCAAAGTTTTAAAATACAAATACAAACAATCAATCAGATTACAGCTTCTCATATTTCCAGCAGTAAACTAATACAAAAAAAAAACATGATCATATTTTTAACTGAACATGTTACAACATGTATGGATCGCATGCAACTCCATATGAGGGCGAAAAACCCTAATTATCATATGTTTATAGGGAAAATTCCCCCATGTCCCCCCTTTTGTCATATCTCAATTTTGGGGCGAACGCCTGTTGGCATAGAGTGTGCATGCCTAGGACATCAATGATCAACAAAAAATAAAAACAAAACAATCAAAAAATGCATAGAAATGAACTAGTGAAAGGGTTGTTACATTAATCACTGAACATTCTCACACTCTAACAACATCTTCTTCATCATGAGAGTCATCACTATCATCAGAGGGTTCCCCTCCCAAATAAATGTTAGGATTGGCTAGTAACAAGGGCATCTGGATAATTGGGTCAGCAGGTGGAGGGTGTAAAATATTACCCTTGTTAAAATAAATGAGGGTGTTAAATACAACCCTTGTAGAATGTTCATAGGGTGGTTACTTCTTCCCCCTGTTGAGGACCCTTCACTGGCTCCAGGCAGCTGCAGGGGGTGATGATGTCATGATTCTCGTCCTGCAGGATGTGGTGGTAGCTTGGCATGCTACTGCAGTCAGCTACTTCTCTTCCTGGTCCTTGGGTACTTCTTCTGGTCAGGCAGATGTCGGCTGCTTCTCTTCCAGGTTAGGCTCCTCCCGTCCAGCCGGACAGCGTGTGACGTCCTCTCCGTGATCCTGTATGGCTCGGTCCACCTCGGTTCCGTCCACTTTCTTTTGGTGACCTTCAGCAGGACCCAGACGACGCCTGGCACCGAAGGCGAAGTATCTTCGTGTGCGTGGTTTTGGTCCAATGAAGGCTTTCTCGGCTTGTGCAGTCCTTGATCTCGGCAGATAGTTGGTAGGAAGATTCACACTCCGGCCGGACCAGAAGTTCCCCGGACCGATCGCCTAGGGATTAGAGGTTATGCACAAAAATGTCCTAGCTCTTACTGACCCTAGCCTCTGATACCTTCAACATCAGACACATACAGTTACGAACAGCAAGCGCAATTAAAGGTACAGTGACATCACGACATGGACACACACAGAGAGAGGGAGAGAGTAAGAATGTGTGTGGGAGAAAGAAATGAGTGGGATCCACTTCGCCACCAGCATCTCCACCTGTGTCACAGAGAAAAATTACAAAGAAATTAAAACACAAAGCAAACAACAATAATTCAATGAGTATAAATGATCAAACTAAAATATACAACCATGCATGGGTTTTATAACAGTTCCGGCAACACTGGAGAGGAAGCCTTGTATAATGAATTCTTAAGATGTCCTTCATCAATTAGAGGTTATAGCCAAATTGTTTCAGGATCCTGAAGTTGAATTGGTCAATTTACTCAGAATAGCCCAATGGCTTTGTTGATGTTTCTCAAGGCTCAGCCACGCCCATATAGATAAATAAACAAACAAACAAGACAAACACAGTCAAACACACGGTCCATACACGTCTCTGTGCCCTCACACACCAAGCAAATGTCAGACTGAAGCGAAAGTGTGAAATACTTAACCTAACGCTAAATCAGTGGAAAGAAAAAATAAGACCTAAAGCGTGTAATCAAATTAATCCAACAAAACTTCCCATAACTGCTGTTCTAAACTCACGTTGCGGTGTGATCTCTCCAATTAAAAATTAGGACAATCACTTTACTATCAATTCAACCAAAAAGTTTCAGGTTGTCCCTTACCTAAACTACCTGTCTTTCTTACCTTCTTTATTTAATTTTTTTTAAGAACCTCACTTAGCACAAGAAATCCTAAGAATTAATTCACTACTTAAGGTTAATTTGTAAATAACGAAACTGCAGTTACAGGTTTGTTTGTGCATAGTATTGGTAATCAGCAGTTTTTTTTCCTTATCTCCACATCTAGAAGTGTGTTTCTGTGCTACTTCTCCATCTATAACACAAGTTAGTATCATCCTTAAAGCATCTGAAATTAAGCTGCATTGCTAAATCAATAACGTGATTTGTGCTAAGAAATACTCCCCTATCCTCTTCCTTTTTCCAGTGGCGCTGAATGACAGATTTTAGATCAATTTAACGTTTTATCACTATTACGTTTCATTTAATTAATTTTGCTTTTTCTCTCTTATTTTTGTCTATTTATTTATTTATGTTATTTACTTATTTATCATGCCATCCTGTGATGATAATCTTAAAGACTTTTTAGCCAATTGTCGTCAAAAAGGCCAATTAAAAATATTATGTTAAAGATTTCACAAGATAAAAATGTGAACATAATTTTTATCGAATGAGGGGTGCAATTATTCAATATTTTTGTGACATTATTTTCTACGTTAGAACTTACAGCTGATAGAAAAATATAGGATCAGCTAGGTTTGGCTAGATCTGTTGGGAAACTCAACGGAGCTGAAACAACACTGTTGTCTCGGATGAGATGTTCCATGAATCATTTAGTCAGCTGGATGCCAAATTATTCATTTAATGTTTATTTTTATGCAATGAATGGAATGGGATGGAACGTTACTATAAACTATCCGGAAATTTGCGCATGTTTGCTCGAAGGAGAGAACTGTTGAAGCCTAAAGCGTTCTCCTAGACTTATAAATAGACACCGTTTCCTTAACTAATGAAGATAAGTGATGACGCTGATGTATTCCGTTTTGAAAAGAAAATAAGGCTTTACTGCATGTCCGCTGCAGCTGAGAATCCTAGGACAATAAAGATTATATTGACGTCCAATGGTGAGTTGGGCTGAAATCCAGGTTACTAATCCTATTATTTATTTATTTATTGATATTATTATTATCTTTTTTTAGGCTAACTTTCTCAGTTAACTATGTTCTACAGTAGTTTAGTAAATTTTCCACAGTTCTGACATTTCATCAATTCAACTGGTTGTTGCCAAAAAGCCTTGTTCATTACCTGACTGCAGCAAGCACTCTTTTACTGGGTGTAACCATAGGAAACAGTCTCTTTTGAGCCTCTCTTTGTAAGTCCAGGATGACCACCGTCATTGATTGAAGTTCACATGTTAGCACACATGCTCCCCCTTTTGTACTTTGTTTCATCAGCAGCAGGGCAAATAAGTTTCTGCCTCTTTGTCCATCTTGTAGTGCTCCCCGTCTTTATGTTATGAGTCACAGCTTTTGGTGAGGGCTTCCAGGTTCTCTTTGTATAGAAGTCAGAGCCAAACATTCTTTGCAGCTGGTTGTGACAGGCCCACCCAGTAAAGTTCATGCCCCCACAATGCACAGCAAACGTTTTCCTTAAATATGTTGATTGAGTTGAAAGGACAGAACTTTCTCTTTTACAAATCAAAATCAACGAAGGTTTCTAATATTTAGTCAACTTTATTGACTCAAAGGTAAATCTAGACTATTTCCTATGCACAATTTTTCTGACTCGTCAAATCGGTTCTACACAGGTTTTAAACTTTAGGCACAATCTATCCCAAATGCAAGATCCCTCCTTTCATTTTTTATTTATCTATTTTATTTTGGGAAAATAACTACCAGTTTTTTACTCAAAACAGCCTAGTACAGTTTCTAGCCAGGTTACAGGAAATAATACTTAGTTTATCTGTTTTTTCATTATTCAGCGTCCCAAAATCCAGCCATTAACGTTAATGGTTCTTAAAGTTTAGGTAAGACAATTATTGGATTTTGTTTTATAGCAAGATTTAACAAATATTTTATTTCCTGACTGATTATTTGTTAATTTTATGGTTTTCATAAAGATGATCCTGAGAGGTTCAGAGCTGCTTTTCGCAGTACCCTGTGCTATTTTTAGACTGCGGGACTCCTGTGTGTAAAAGTGGGTGGAGTCAGGTCCCCAGGCTGAAACTCCAGTCATTCTCACTAAATCTGTCCGAGAGGAAGGATCTCCTGAATACCCTAACCAGAAGCCTTAAGGTACGTCCAAAACACCGAAAAATATCCTTTCTAAAGTCACAAATTGCTTAAAACTGCATGTTACACAGAAAAACTGTGAGAGCGAGGGAGTCCAGCTGACTCCACGGCCCATAATCAGACAAAATACTTCCTTTATAACCACAACCATACAACTTTTGTATTTTAAAGGATTTTCTTGTCCTCACACTAACGATAAATTCTTTTTCTATTGTTTCCACAGTCTCTCGAACTAAATAACCGTCTAGTAAAAACATGGACCGCACCCTGTTTCTCAAGCAGCTGCTCCCTCTATTAAAAACTGAGTCATTCAGAAGATCCAGCGAAAGCAGCTCATGCAAGAAGACACACATTCACTCATTCACAAAGCACAGAGACATTCTTTGTTTGTCACAGTCTCTTTTTATTATTATTATTATTTTTTTAAGGTAAGTCAGTTCGTCACTTATTTATTCTCTCTCTATATATATATAATATTTTAAGCACAGAATTTATTTAACACTGCACTGGTTATTTTCAGAATTTAATGCTTACTATGCTTTTAAGCAGGCCTTATGTAACATTAGAGCAAATCCAATTGCAATTTTTTTGAGAGCGCTCTGAGGAATAGTTTATATATTTATTTTCTGCAGATCTGTTTTGATTTTACTGTTTAGCAGCTATATGACTATATTTCTAAAATAAAGCTGTCATTTACATCCTTACTTGCGTTTCTTGGTGGTTTTTTCCCTTTTTTCATCTCCAGGTCACTTAACCCCCAGATCGGGGTCACTCACATGCTGCCCCACACACAAATGATTATCACGCTTCTACACTACATATGTATATATATGTATACACATATACATACATACACACATACATATGCATATGTTACTTTAAAAACCTTTTATTTATTAACTTATGGTGTTCTGTTCAAAGACTGATCAGAACAGGGTTGCAGAATTTGAATTTTGCGTAGCTCCAAACATTAATTTTAGCACTGCAGTGTAATTTACATATACGAGTTGCAACTTTTTAAAGCTCTTATTTATCTTATTTATTTATTTTCTGGTACCGCATCAGGCCTTCACACACACACCCAGCGCTGTACACACACACACACACACATGGAGCTCCCAAAACTCTGCTCTGCATTCTGCACTCTCCTAGTGCTGCACTTTCAATCCAGAGCCGTAAGCAGCCTCTTGCTGCGCCTCACACACACAGGCTGAACTCAGCTTACACACACAGGAAGCTTGTCTACAGCTGTGCCTTTTTTCTCTTGATTCTGCAGCCTTCACTTCCCAAATCTTTCTCCAGTTACCTCTACTGTTAACATCTACCCCTTTTTTCTTCATCGCCTCTTCCGCTGACTTTCTCAATAAAACCTTATTTCTCGTGGCTTCAACTGGGCTGCTTGTCATATTTAAACATTGCTCATTTTATGCAAAAACAGCCAAAAGCACGCAGAAATAGCCAAAAGCACTGCTCTCTTCACACAGAAGCAGTCAAAACATTTATCATCTTATGCAAAAACAGTTACCTCAGAACATTTTTCTCATCTCATGCAAAAGGTCCTTGACCTTAAAAATCCAGGGAGCTCTCTTTTAGCCTCCCCTTCCCTTAACACAAAAAACCAGGTCCTTGACCTTAAAATCCAGGGAGCTCTCTTTTAGCCTCCCCTTCCCTTAACACAAAAAAACCAGGTCCTTGACCTTAAAATCCAGGGAGCTCTCTTTTAGCCTCCCCTTCCCTTAACACAAAAAACCAGGTCCTTGACCTGTGGACTTTTAGGGTTCCCACACCTATGGATCCAGCCAAGCTTTATATAACCTTGTTATATATTCTATCCGCTCGTCAGCAAATAGTGTGGTCAGCCACGACCTGGAAATGGAACTTTAGGGCTACTCTATTAGCCCTGGGTCACCATCCCTTCATCTGTACTATTTCCTTTTCTCATTTACTCATTAAACCATTAGAAAAATCCTCATTTCATTTCACCATTAAACCATTACAAAAAATCTCTTATTCTCCTGCACTTGTCTCCACTTTCTTCTCCAACTATTATTTTAGGACCACAGCTACTGTGATTCTGGACACAAAGGCTTTGGATAAATCCAATGAGCAGATTTTAGATAATAGGCTCTGCTCACCTTGTTTTCCACCGCGGTGTTCTGTGCCAAGATCTGTTCGCTGGGTCGGTTGGTCAAATTGTCCTCCAAAAACTCCTTTTTCTTCAAAAAGAAAAAATCCTGTTCGTGACGCCAAATTTGTTGGTCTCTCTTCCGTTAGACCAAGCACGGGTACGGAGTAGATGGAGTTAAACACCTTTTAAGTTGACAGAACGAGGAGACAAATGATCAGAAGTCCATTCACTGTTTCACCGCTCATGAGGGGGAGAGTCTCTGCAGCAAGTCCCGCGACCTGCTCTTGCCAGATGCTTCGGACAGACTCTCGCCGTTCTGCTGAAAACGGCTGATTTTTATTGAAGATTACAGGAATGTTACATACGTAGTTTGCCATACACACACGTAATTCTGCCATCTGCACCTGCAGACGCACGTCAGCTAATAGCCTTGTTAATGAAAGACCAATTCATCCCAAGGACATGCAACCTTGAGATGATCAGGACACATCCTGCAACATCCTTTGCTAACAAAGACAGTTGTTCTTGTATTGAGGAACTGAAGGAAGGAACGCTTTCACTCCCTTATGCAGCTGTTCAGCTTGAGCAGAAAAGGCACAGAGAGGTTTTCGATATTATAACAAGATTCCATGAAAAGGCATATAATAATGTATTTATGATAATATATAAGGGGCAAAAGTGAGAGATACATATTTAATCATATAAAAGAGCTTATAATAATATATGAAAGAGCTTATATGAGAGATATATATTTTCATAATGAATATTTAAACGTTTTAATGAAGAATTTAACCATTTTAATGAAGAATTTATAGTTTTAATGAACATTTAAACGTTTTAATGAAAATTTAAACGTTTTAATGAACCTTTAAACATTTTAATGAAGATTTAAACATTTGAATTATTATTTTAAAGTTTTAATGAAGAATTTAACGTTTTAATGAACATTTAAACATTTTAATGAACATTTTAACGTTTTTAAAAATGAACATTTTAACATTTTAATGAAAAATTTAACGTTTTAATGAACATTTTAACGTTTTTAAAAATGAACATTTTAAACATTTTAATGAACATTTTAACATTTTAATGAAAAAAAATTAACGTTTTAATGAACCTTTAAACATTTTAATGAACATTTTAATGAAGATTTTAACGTTTTAATGAACATTAAAACATTTTAATGAACATTTTAACGTTTTAATGAACATTTTAATGTTTTAATGAAAAATTTAACGTTTTAATGAACATTTTAATGTTTTAATGAATCTTTAAACGTTTTTAAAAATGACGATTTTAACGTTTTAATGAAGAATTTAACGTTTTAATGAACCTTTAAACGTTTTTAAAAATGAACATGTAAATGTTTTAATGAAGAATTTAACGTTTTAATAAACACTTTAACGTTTTAATGAAGACAGTACTGTATCTTTCTGACATCATCTAGAAACAAGCAGACTTTCTGATATCATGTAGAAACAGTGTCCTTCTGACATTTTAACGTTGTAATGAAGATTTTAATGTTTTTAAAAACGTTTAAAGGTTCATTAAAACATTGAAATCATAATTTTTAAAAAACGTTAAATTTTTCATTAAAACGTTAAAATGTTCATTAAAATGTTTAAATGTTCATTTTTAAAAATGTTAAAAGGTTCATTAAAATGTTAAAATGTTCATTAAAATGTTAAAATGTTCTTTAAAACATTAAAATGTTCATTAAAACATTAAAATGTTCATTAAAACGTTTAAAGGTTCATTAAAACCTGCTTGTTTCTTTATGATGTCAGAAAGATACAGCTTGTTTCAAAAAATGAACATTTAAACGTTTTTATGAACCTTTAAACATTTTAAAGAACATTTTATCGTTTTAATGAACCTTTAAACATTTTAATGAACATTTTAACGTTTTAAAAAATGAACATTTTAACATTTTAATGAACATTTTAACGTTTTAATGAACATTTTAACGTTTAAAAAAAATGAGCATTTAACCGTTTTAATGAAGAATTTAATGTTTTAAAGAACATTTAAACATTTTAATGATGATTTTAACGTTTTAATGAACATTTTAACGTTTTAATGAACATTTAAATGTTTTGATGAACATTTTAACATTTTAATGAACATTTTAACGTTTTAATGAAGAATTTAACGTTTTAATTAACTTTTTAACGTTTTAATGAACCTTTAAACGTTTTTAAAAATGAACATTTAAACATTTTAATTAACATTTTAACGTTTAAATGAAGAATTATATTCAACAAGCATATATATATTCTGATATATATCAGACATATATATCTTGTTTCTACATGATATCAGAAGGAGACTGCTTGTTTCTACATGATATCAGAAGGAGAACTGCTTGTTTCTTTATGATGTCAGAAGGAGACTGCTTGTTTCTACATGATATCAGAAGGATACTGCTTGTTTCTACATGACATCAGAAGGAGACTGCTTGTTTCTTTATGGTGTCAGAAGGAGATTGCTTGTTTCTTTATGATGTCAGAAGGAGACTGCTTGTTTCTTTATGATGTCAGAAGGAGACTGCTTGTTTCTTTATGATGTCAGAAAGATACTGCTTGTTTCTTTGTTATGTCAGAGGCAGTCTGCTTGTTTCTTTATGATGTCAGAAAGGGACTACTTGTTTCTTTCTGATGTCAGAAGGAGACTGCTTGTTTCTTTATGATGTCAGAAAGTCTGCTTGTTTCTACATGATGACAGAAAGTCTGCTTGTTTCTAGATGACGTCAGAAAGAGTCTGCTTGTTAGATGATGTCAGAGGCAGTCTGCTTGTTTCTAGATGATATCAGATATCATGAAGAAACAAGCTGTATCTTTCTGACATCATAAAGAAACAAGCACGTTTTAATGAAAATTTTAACGTTTTAATGAACCTTTAAACGTTTTTAAAAATGAACATTTAAATGTTTTAATGAACTCTTTCTGACATGTAGAAACAAGCAGTCTCATTCTGACATCATGTAAAAACAAGCAGACTCTTTATGACATCATAAAGAAACAAGCAGTCTGCCTCTGACATCATAAAGAAACAAGCAGTCTCCTTCTGACATCATGTAGAAACAAGCAGTTTCTGACATCATGTAGAAACAAGCAGACTGCCTCTGACATCATTAAGAAACAAGCAGTATCTTTCTGATATCATGAAGAAACAAGCAGTCTGCCTCTGACATCATAAAGAAACAAGCAGACTCCTTCTGACATCATAAAGAAACAAGCAGTCTCTTTCTGACATCATGTAGAAACAAATAGTCTCCTTCTGACATCATAAAGAAACATTTTAACATTTTAATGAACATTTAAAGGTTTTAATGAATATTTAAACGTTTTAATGAAGAATTTAACCATTTTAATGAAGAATTTATAGTTTTAATGAACATTTAAACGTTTTAATGAAAATTTAAACGTTTTAATGAACCTTTAAACATTTTAATGAAGATTTAAACATTTGAATTATGATTTTAACGTTTAAATGAAGAATTTAACGTTTTAATGAACATTTAAACATTTTAATGAACATTTTAACGTTTTTAAAAATGAACATTTTAACATTTTAATGAAAAATTTAACGTTTTAATGAACATTTTAACGTTTTTAAAAATGAACATTTAAACATTTTAATGAACCTTTTAACGTTTTAATGAAAAATTTAACGTTTTTTAAAAAAGAAGATTTTAACGTTTTAATGAAAAAAATTTAAAGTTTTAATGAAGCTTTAAACATTTTAATGAACATTTTAATGAAGATTTTTACGTTTTAATGAACATTAAAACATTTTAATGAACATTTTAACGTTTTAATGAACATTTTAACGTTTTAATGAAAAATTTAACATTTTAATGAACATTTTAATGTTTTAATGAACCTTTAAACGTTTTTAAAAATGACGATTTTAACATTTTAATGAAGAATTTAACGTTTTAATGAACCTTTAAACGTTTTTAAAAATGAACATTTAAATGTTTTAATGAAGAATTTAACATTTTAATAAACACTTTAACGTTTTAATGAAGACAGTACTGTATCTTTCTGACATCATCTAGAAACAAGCAGACTTTCTGATATAATGTAGAAACAGTCTCCTTCTGACATTTTAACGTTTTAATGAAGATTTTAACGTTTTTATAAACGTTTAAAGGTTCATTAAAACATTAAAATCATCATTTTTAAAAAACGTTAAATTTTTCATTAAAACGTTAAAATGTTTATTACAATGTTTAAATGTTCATTTTTAAAAATGTTAAAAGGTTCATTAAAACATTAAAATGTTCATTAAAACGTTAAAATGTTCAATAAAATGTTAAAATGTTCTTTAAAACTTTAAAATGTTCATTAAAACATTAAAATGTTCATTAAAACGTTTAAAGGTTCATTAAAACGTGCTTGTTTCTTTATGATGTCAGAAAGATACAGCTTGTTTCAAAAAATGAATATTTAAACGTTTTTATGAACCTTTAAACATTTTAAACAACATTTTATCGTTTTAATGAACCTTTAAACATTTTAATGAACATTTTAACGTTTTAAAATATGAACATTTTAACGTTTTAATGAACATTTTAACGTTTTAATGAACATTTTAACGTTTTAATGAACATTTTAACGTTTTAATGAAGAATTTACCGTTTTAATGAAAATTTTAACGTTTTAATGAACCTTTAAACGTTTTTAAAAATGAACATTTAAACATTTTAATTAACATTTTACCGTTTTAATGAAGAATTATATTCAACAAGCATATATATATTCTGATATATATCAGACATATATATCTTGTTTCTACATGATATCAGAAGGAGACTGCTTGTTTCTACATGATATCAGAAGGAGAACTGCTTGTTTCTTTATGATGTCAGAAGTAGACTGCTTGTTTCTACATGATATCAGAAGGATACTACTTGTTTCTACATGACATCAGAAGGAGACTGCTTGTTTCTTTATGCTGTCAGAAGGAGACTGCTTGTTTCTTTATGATGTCAGAAGGAGACTGCTTGTTTCTTTATGATGTCAGAAGGAGACTGCTTGTTTCTTTATGATGTCAGAAAGAGACTACTTGTTTCTTTCTGATGTCAGAAGGAGACTGCTTGTTTCTTTATGATGTCAGAAAGTCTGCTTGTTTCTACATGATTACAGAAAGTCTGCTTGTTTCTAGATGATGTCAGAAAGAGTCTGCTTGTTTCTAGATGATGTCAGAGGCAGTCTGCTTGTTTCTAGATGATATCAGATATCATGAAGAAACAAGCTGTATCTTTCTGACATCATAAAGAAACAAGCACGTTTTGATGAAAATTTTAACGTTTTAATGAACCTTTAAACGTTTTTAAAAATGAACATTTAAATGTTTTAATGAACTCTTTCTGACATCATGTAGAAACAAGCAGTCTCATTCTGACATCATGTAAAAACAAGCAGACTCTTTATGACATCATAAAGAAACAAGCAGTCTGCCTCTGACAGCATAAAGAAACAAGCAGTCTCCTTCTGACATCATGTAGAAACTAGCAGTTTCTAAAATCATGTAGAAACAAGCAGACTGCCTCTGACATCATAAAGAAACAAGCAGTATCGTTCTGATATCGTGAAGAAACAAGCAGTCTGCCTCTGACATCATAAAGAAACAAGCAGTCTGCCTCTGATATCATAAAGAAACAAGCAGTCTCATTCTGACATCATAAAGAAACAAGCAGTCTCTTTCTGACATCATGTAGAAACAATTTAACATTTTA